AGTTAGATAAAGCATTGTATGGTCTCAAACAAGCACCTCGTGCTTGGTATGAGCGACTATCAAAATTTATTTTGGAAAATGGTTTTGAAAGAGGAAAAATAGATAAAACTCTTTTTCTAAAAATAAAAGATCAAGCTCTATTGGTCGTTCAAATTTATGTAGATGATATTATTTTTGGTGCTACTAACGATTCACTTTGTGATGAGTTTTCTTCTCTTATGAGCTCCGAGTTCGAGATGAGCATGATGGGTGAATTAAATTTTTTCCTTAGTCTGCAAATCAAACAAACAAGCAAAGGAACCCAAATATCCCAACAAAAGTATCTTAATGAATTACTCAAGAAATATGGAGCAAGTGAAAGCAAAACAATGACAACACCTATGGGAACAAATGACAGGCTGGATGCAGATGAAAAGGGAACAATCGTAGACCAGAAGATGTACCGAGGAATGATTGGGTCCCTACTGTACCTAACCGCCAGTAGACCTGACATTGTTTTTAGTGTAGGTCTATGTGCTCGGTTCCAGGCAAATCCTAAGGAGTCTCACCTCAAAGCAGTCAAAAGGATCCTCAAATACCTCAAAGGAACTATGAATCTATGCTTATGGTATCCACATAATGAGGATTTTAATCTTATTGCATATTCAGACTCTGATTTTGCAGGTGATTTATTGAATGGAAAAAGCACGTCTGGAACGACTCATTTCCTAGGTCCTTGCCTAGTTTCATGGAGTTCGAAGAAACAGAATTCAGGTGCTCTTTCAACGGCCGAAGCAGTATACGTAGCAGTCGCATCATGCTGTTCCTAATCATTATGGATCATGCAACAAATAAGCGACTACGGAATTGACGTAAAGTGCACGCCTATTCTATGTGACAATACTAGCGCAATCAGCATCTCAAAAGATCCGGTCATGCATTCTCGGACGAAACATATCCATATCCGCCATCATTTTCTGAGAGATTGTGCGGAAAAGGGGTTAATCAAGCTGGAGTACTGCAATACCGACAAACAAATTGCTGACATCTTTACCAAGCCCCTGGGAAGAGAAAGGTTTGAAATAATTCGACTTGAACTCGGTCTTATCAATGCTTAATTTTATTTTCTCCTTTAAATTTTTTTTTAAAAAAATTACTTTCCAACTGAGGGGGAATATTTTTTTAATTTTCATAGATTTCAAAATAGCAAGTAGTTTTATCAATGGAACTAATCTTTCAACTACCTAATTTAACAAAGTATTTAAAAGTGCACAAATATCTTTGGGTGTGGAGCTAATCAACCGGACATCTCCTTCAATTAGGAATAAAATTGAATTTGGAAAGAAATCATTAAGATTATTTTTGGGAAGTGTAAAAGATCCCTTGGTATCTATGCAACCGCCCACTTCCAAAGTCGCCCACCTTCCGTAAACTCCTCCTTCCCTCTTCCTTAAACCACCATGGTTAAAACCAGGGGTTGTGCTCCTCCGACCGCACTTTGACGCTCAGGTCGGAAAAGAAACACACAGCCATCAAAACCTTCTTCACCCACTCCAATAGATCTTGAATCTCCGCCTCCTTCAACCATGCACTATGAACAATCCAAGGAGGAACAAGAAGGAAACTCACCATCCTCAACCACTCCCTCTCCGGTGAAACAATCTAAAGAAAAACCCCTCACTCGCGAAGGGAAGATTCTGCCTCGCAAATACACCCGGAAGAGAGCCATTGCAGAAGGTATCATCTCAGGCGAGCAAACAACCAAAAAATTTCCTAAACTAGGGAAGGTGGCGGAAGAAGATGCTCTCAAACTCAAAGTTGCCTACCAGGAAAGAGGTATTGTAAAGGTAATCACTATCCCCTTCACCGAACTCTCCTCTCAAACTACCGATTTTGTAGAACTCATTGCCTTTCAAAAATGGGGGTCTCTTTTCGAAGCTAAGTATTGATGTCCCATCTACCCTGACTGTCTATCCGATTTTCTTGCTAATCTTATAATCAAAGACAATGCACTTGTATCTCGTGTTCCTGGTACCAAGCTACGCCTAACGGTCCATGAACTAGCGAAGACGTTAGATGTTCCCTATTCTGGTGAATGCCCTTACAAGAAGGAGGAGTGGCCTCTGTCAAATGTGACCCAGATGAATGCCATAAAATATTTTGACCCAAATGCTACCAGCCTTTCCCTTCTTGTGAGTAATCTGTCTCCTATCCACAAGTTGTTGTTTTACTTTGTCCATTCAAATCTCATCCCTCGACTGGAAGGTAGATTGATTTCATCCAGGCTAGAAGTTGCATATATGTACCTCCTAGCCACAAAAACCCTATTAACCTTCCTGGCCTTATGTTTTCTCATCTCAAATTTACCATCAGTGATCGCGCTAGAAAGGTTGGGATTCCCTTTGGCACTATCTTGACACACTTGTTCATCAAAATTGGGATCTCTCTTGACAATCTGCCTTACCCACACCATTCACAAAAATCTTGATACTAAGGGTCTTATGAGCTACGACATAACCGTTCAAAACTCTAAACTCATCTTCAAGGAAACCATTACACCAGTTCCTTCGTCCAAAACTTCTAAACCTAAGCCAGTTCCTGTTGCCTCTCCGGACCCAATGCATTTTGTTACTCTTGTCAAAGAACAACTACACCTTATGGAGCTCACTATGCTACGACGGTTTGATTCATTGGCAGAATCGGTGATCACACTTTCCAGTCGGCTTGATGAAGTACGCACTAACATAAAATCTTTTCAAAATGAAGTGTTGGCCAAATTTGAGCAAGACAGTGAAGGGCTCCACAAGAGAATTGTACCCTCATCCGATGAAGACTAATTCGCTATCATAAACACTTTTTTCAAATATTATGGTTTTGGGGTGGGATATCATACTTACACTTACTTACTTTCTGGCATTGTTTTGGTTATTTTTTGTTTCCTTTTGGTTGATGTCAAAAGGGGGAATAATCAGGTGTCTCCTTCCTTAAAACTGCTACACTTAAAACTGCTCTACTATGTTTCGACCTTGTTGTGTTGGTTTAGACACTAATATGCAGGGACACCTTTATTATGGCACCTAATGTTTGTCATCAACAAAAAGGGGGAATTTGTTGAGTATGTTGTTTTGTTGATGACTAACCTGCAGGTGAAACGGCGGACGGAACCGTTCACAGTTCCTTGCGAAACAAAGGACAGAACTATCCTCAGGACCAAATGAATATTATTAGTATGTTATTGACTAACCATGTAGGTGGAACTAATGTAGAACCAATTCTAGTTCCGTGATACGATTCGAATTAATATTGATTGCGCTTACTTGATTAATATACTTTCCTTATATGAGTGCTTATATTTTGTCAAGAATATTATTTCTAAGCAAAAATATCTTTCTATGCATGTCCACTCTATATATAATTGGAAGTTGACCATAGCACTTATACTTGTTAAGCAAATTCTTTCTCTTGCTATACGGATTTAAAAAGTAATCCTTGTTTGAAATATATTCCATATTTGATCCATTGCATTTATGAAATAATTTCCTTGTCTGTAATTGGTATGCTACTTTCGTGTATACGTGATTAGAATATCTTAAGTATCTTAACTTGACTGCCCTACATATCTCGAGATGGAATATGAGAAATATTATGGAGAGAAGCAATTCAAAAATAGGCAAGTCCATAAATTTACCAAGCAACCAACTAAGGAAAGAGGAGCAACAGACGGGCTGCATAAAGCTATATATATGACAGAAGATCAAGAGAAGCGGGTGTGCTTGACCGAGCAATTACAGAGAGAAATACTTATAAAGAATTATCAAGACCAAGACACCTGAACCTGCTCTCAGAGTTCTAGATAGAGTTTCTTTTCACTTCTTTATCTTGTAACTAGATTTTGAGGAAAAGCTAAAGTGTAGCCTCCTCGGGTTAGGGGCGTGTGTGTGAGAGCTTTGTTGTAAAGCTGATAGGCTCTCTACTCACAAGGTAGAGATACATAACTCTTCCTAGAGAGGATAGAGTTGGGGGTGGCTCAAGGGTAGATTAGGAGAATTTACCTTGTAACCACAAATAGCTTTTTAGTGAAGTTGTTTAAAATTCCTCCGAGAGAGGTCGAAGTTTTTTAATCCCTTTGAGCCAAGAGATTTTTCCTCGTTAAATCCTTGTACACTTTACTATTTCACAATTCCGTAAACCCCACACTAGAACTGTGCGAGAAACTGTCACGGTTCCACACACACACAATTCACCCCCCCCCCCCCCCCCCCCCCCCCCTCTTGTGTTACTAACCGTTTCATCATATATTTCATATTATATTTACATAACCCCCCTATCCCATTAAAGTTGGCGTTTTTTTACTTGCAAGTAAAATAACGTAAATAATAAAGTAAAAACTATATCATTGAAATATATATAGAGGAGAAACATTATCAGCCTATTCATTCATAATTTTATCAATTTGAAATTTTCAATCGATTCAGGCAATTTTAGGGTTATCAATTAAGCTGCCAATAATATACTACTCTCTCTGTCCCATAAAATAAGTCCCACTTTCTTTTTTGGGTCGTCCCAAAAAATTGTTTTCATTTCCTTTTTTGGAAAGTTTTGTGTGGCTAACATTCATTTACTTTTTTCTTACTCAACTACAACCATACATTTCCACTTTGTTCTCACTTTCTTAAACTCCGATCCAAATTGAAATGAGTACTATTTTATGGGACGGAGGTAGTATATAATATAAAGCAGTTACAAGGAGCCAGGGCTCTCTTATGAAGGCCAGATCGCTTATGTAGCAGTGTGGCATCATCATAACTATTCATGACTGGAATTTGCACTGTAATAATCGATCGTATTCATAATGATACAGAAGTCCTATAGAAGCCATACAAAAAAATCTCATTCCCTTCTTTTGTAATATGTACAATCCATCAAATTCAACACCAAACATGAACCTGTTATTCTCAATATAATTCCTGCCTTTTCCTGCCCCCCCCCCCCCCCCCCCCCCCCCCCAAATGATAAAGTTCCTTATTTCTCTGCTTTATCCTCAGCAGTCAATAGAAATGCAGTTCTGAGCCAAGGTAGAAGGATCATTCTTGGAAACAAATGGATCTATCTTAACCCAGACGAGTGAGAAAACGGAAGCCAATAGCACCGACCACAAGACAACAACAGTCGGGGTGCGATTCTGGCGCCCCATGAGACCTTTCAAGAATGGGTAGAGATGAAAGATGACCCAAAATGCAAAAAAGACTTTCCCGAACAGTGGCCCCCATGACTCATATCCACTGTTGAGCGCATCCGAAAAGCCAGCCACCACACCCACCAAGTTGACGATGAGAATGGTGGTGGGAGGGATCAAGACGGTTGTCCATTTGAAGATGTAGAGATCCCCAAACTCTGTGTCCTCTGCTGCTCCCTTTGCGGTCACTGTGAAATTGGTGTCTATCCCTGCAATCATTTTCAGGATTCCCTGGAAGACGGCAAAGAGGTGAGCCGAAACCCCTCCGATGACCCAAAACTGCTCGTTCCTCCACCAGTCCTCTATGCTCACACCGCTCCACCGTAGCTCTAGAATGCTCGCCACGATGATCGAAATAAACAGTCCAAGAAACAGGATGCTCGCAACATTCGTCAACTGATGATGCAATAACACAGTAATCCTTCTATCAGCATTGAGATCATTCAATTGAAACGTACGGAGTAAGAAACATGCAACTATATTAACTATATTAATCAATAGTGATATTAAAACTTGGTATACTACATCCATCAAGCTAATAGTGGGATGAGCAGCTCAATGCCTTATACCTTACACCTTAGTTCTTATGCTTATACTTATGGCCCATTGGAGTGACCAATCCTGAAGTTCATGTGCTTTTAAGGCGTACCAATTGCTCAGTTGAACCTAATTTGCTCTAGTATCATATACAAACATCGGGTTTCATATTTCGATTGGTCGACCCAAGGTCTCTCTCATGTTCTCTCTTCTAATTCTGTTTTAAGTAAGAAAATAAATGAGGATACGTTTTGGGAAAATCAAAGTCCCATTGGAAAGCAGAGCTGAGAATGAAGTTTTCAATCTGTACATGTCAGCTCATGAAATAGCAACTTCTTCCAATAAAAAATGTGCTAATTCCCAACTTTGCGGAAGTTTCCATGAATAGGATCGAACCTTACTCCATGGTAATGACACGAGGTTCCTCTTTAAGAGAACCCAAATTAAAAAATGAACAAACTCTTTTGAGAATAACAAAAATGGAATGTGAACATTAAAACGTGATCTGACCTGACCGTAAACTAGGGTCACTTTTGACGCTGCAATATTTGGTTCCTAGATTCTTTCTTTTTCATGTAAAGATCCTTTCCTTCGCAAGTACATCCAGCCACTCCGCCAAATAAGGGTACTCCGTGCGCTTTGGCAATATCATCAATTAATTTATATGCTAACTTGTATGTTTTATATGTCAGTTTGTAGGTCAGATGTTAATTAAAATTATATGCCATTGTTAGAACTCTAATTGTGTAACAGTAAATTGATCTTAAAATAGTAGAAAGGAAGAAGAAGATATAGACGAGGTGCTTCGAGAGGCCTCAACTCTCCCAGATCCCAATTTCCTAATTCCAAAATCTGCCTCCCTTCCTCATTGCCCTCCTTCCCACTCTTATAGTACTTATATTCTAACGGGCCAGCCCATATTTTATGACATGGCCCAGAAGTCTTATTGATACAATATCATACTTATTTAATATCAATCTATAACTACTACTATTATTATTCTCTAGCCAGGGTCCTATCAGCCATTTTGCCTTTTTTTATACAAGTCCAATGTAGAATGACTTAACACACTGTATCTTATACAAGAGGATCAAATTACCGTTGGTATGATGAATTTCCCAGTGAGAAGACATATAGCAGGCAAGGAGCAGTATGCGACCAAGGGGATGGAAGTGAAAGGGTAAACAATGGTGTTGATATATGCAAGCCTCTGAAGCCATCTCAGGCGGCCGCCTCCAAATCCATACCACAGTGGACAATGTCTGCTAAAGAAAATCTCAACTGATCCAAGAGCCCAACGGAGAACTTGGTGCAACCTGTCAGATAAGTTGATTGGGGCAGATCCCTTGAATGCAGGCCTTAGAGGCATGCAATATATTGACCTCCACCCTCGGCAATGCATCTTGAAGCCCGACAAGATATCTTCAGTAACTGATCCATATATCCAACCGATCTAAAGAAGACGAGTAATCACAATAGTGATAATACGGACATGGTTAGAATGTTGAGCTAAAAACTATAACTCGATGCTGAAAAAGAAATTACTACCCTACTTGCAAAAAACAAAAAATACCACCCTAAACATGAAGCATTTGATATAAGTATAGCTGGTAAAGGGTTGAATATAAATTTAATATTATTGTAATATGATAGGGTTACTACCTACTACTGGAAGCAAATGAAAAGTCAATACAAAGCAGTCTACCAAACAAAGTTTTAATACATTTGTAAGGAAAAAAAGCGTTCAAAATAAGCTCAACCAAAAGGTAATTAAATACTCCGTTCTATACTGTCCTCCGAAATTAAGCTTCAGAATCTACATTCATGGTCTTCGATAAACCATTAGTATATCATGTATATATGTCATATATACACACATAGTATAAAATTAACATTTAATAATCACACTTGACTAATTTTGACTTAAAGTAAAACTGTGAAGTTTAGATTGGGACCAATGGAGTAGAAACTGATGTCAATTCTGACCAAAGCAGAGAAAAGAAGGATACGAAATAAAAATTCTTACCTCTTTACCCCATGCAGTCTTCTCTTCATAGCCACAACTGATGACATGAATGGCCTCATTGATGAGTGTGGATGGATCAGATGAATCGGGAAGACCTCCATTTTCCATTAATGTGGACTCTATGAATACCGAAGACATGCCAAACGTTTTCTCGAAGCTCATCTGGGAGATGACCAATGACCTCTCATACTCATCATAATCTGAGATATTAGTTAGGCTTATCTTAATAGCCAATTCTTCCGATACATAAAATAATCTGGGATAAAATTTCCAAACATGGACTTGAACTTACTCTCGATTTCCCTCAGATTAAAAATGGCGGAATTGAGATCCTCCCTTTTGGCATCACGATAAAGCTCTGCTGCATCCTTCTCTTTTGTTATCTTCCTAACGCGGAAGCAACAACAACAGCCTCCACACCAAGAACACGATGATGATGAAGACTTTGGTAATTGGGGGATGGATGGGGGACTATAACCGTAAAGTGCTTGCCTGTTGAAAACACAACCAGTACCAACATAAACTGGTCCTTGTATTCCATCTAAGCCTTTCATATTAACCTGAAATGACAGCACATACTTCAAATTTCATAGTTGTGAAGGAATACAACATAATGTGGTTTGGTCTACAGTTAAGCGACTCCACACTATGAACTTGATACACACTGTGTGATCCATCGACAATTATGAACTTGATACACACCATGTGAAAACAATGAAAAATATATGACCAAAATAAAAATAATGGACAAAAAATGTGATTATACACTGCACTGACAATGATTGTGTTCAATTTTACCATAGGGTATTTTCAGAGCGACTGGTGGTTGTCATGTAGTCATATTTATGTTCGTAAGTTCTCTTTTAGTAATATTACGGTTATAGGGAAAACCCTTAAGAAAAAATGAGCTTCTAAAACTATATTTGAACAAAAGGAGGAGTGTGATGACAAAATGATGATAAAACTAGTCTACTTACATCAAAGAACACAACATTACGGTTGGCATATCTATCGCTCTTATCTATACCGTCGAATCGCTGAGGGAACTGCACGTAACATAAGTCTTGGCCAACTTGGGGATCCATCAGAAAACACATTGCTTCACGGATGGCCTTGCTATTGTTAACATAGTGATCACAATCAAGGTTGAGAATGTAGGGTGCGTTTGTAAGAATGGCAGAAACCCTAACCTGCAGGAAACCATGCTCAACAAAGTTAAGAGCAAGAGGATAGATAGTACCTCCGTTCTTAAATAGTTGCAACATTAAAAAGTTTACAATATTCACGTACTCTACTTTGACTGCATTATATTTACAATTCCATTAAAAATTTATATTTTTTAAAAATATAATTAAATTCTTCTCATTTTGAATTTTTAAAATGATTACAAATAGGGAAATAAGTATATTAATGATCAAAGTTGTGGGTTGGCAAACGTGAAAATGGAAGCATTGCAATTAAAAAAGAACGGAGGAAGTATATAACTTAAAAGCTAAAAATTCATTACGTAGTTTTACCAGAGCATTTTCTGCACCGGCTTTTTTGTGGTGTTGATACCCTGGCCTCTTCTCTCGGGATACATAAACTAGTCTGGGGAGCTCATTTCCTTCCATGTCATGGGCACCAGTATTTCCTAAGAACACCTGAAACATCCAACATTGTTGATCGAGAGGGTGAGGCATTGATTTATCACAGATAAAAGCTGCACTTTTTTATTGAGATGCGCCGACCACGTCTGTGCTAACCAACCTGAATCATGCCTGGGTGGTCCCTTGAGTTATTTCCCGGCCAAGGTGTTCCATCCGCCATGGTCCACCCGTCTTCTGGCGTTTTTTGAGCCTTTGCAACCAATGCATTTATCCTCACCTTGTACTCCTCATACTCTCTCTGCAAGTGCACTACTGATTAATAAAGTGAATAGCTCGACCTCAACTCTCAAGGCTTTCATTTGATTCAGGGAACATTAAATTAATTTGTCATGGGCAATATATTCCTGGAAACGGTTTCCCTAGAAACAAAAATATGAAGCATGTAATATAATGTTGATTTACAAAAAAAAAATATACGTACTCTCCCTCTCCCCTTTAGAACAACAGACCGTACCAAGAGTGAAACACGGGACACTACTAAGTACTAAAATAAGCTACCTTTATAGCTCTCCTTTCCTTGACAAAAGAAGGCTGCACTTTGTCCTTGAGGTAATCGATTTTCTGGGAGAAGTAGAACTCGGGCGCCCGGGGTTCGAGGGAGAACTTTTTGCAGAAGGGTACCCATTTGCGTGCAAACTCAGCGGTTTCCGCGAGAGACTCGAAGGTGAGGATGTCGGCACCGTCATCGGAAACATAGCATGAAACTTTGTCCACGGGATAATCGACGGCTAGGATTGAAAGAACGGTGTTGGCGGTGATCAATGGCGGTTCTTTCAGAGGATCAACCGTGCTAACAAAGAAATCCACTGCGGCCAGGGCGTTTTGCTGGCCCTCGCTTTCAAACCTGTTTCAGTTCATAAAATAAAGGATAAAATGGAAAATGAGTTTGAATTTGAAATGAAGAAAACATTGAGCAGCATAGATACATACGAAGCTGAGAGGTTGTGAAGGTATGTCCGGCGGTTGATGGGAGCCCATTTGGGAAACTGATCCAAGAGCCAAGAGAAAGCAAACCAAATCTCACAAATGACTGAAGTAAGCCACAAGGGGTAGGCACTATGAACTGGGTTGCTCACTCGGTAGTGGATGAAAAAGGTGAGAATTATGAGCCTCAAAATGATCACTGTTCTGTAGGGTGCAATTTGGCTCTTCGGAATTCGGATTATCGATGAAAGCAGCGTCTCTCCACCCCTTGCTGCTGACCTGCGCGCACATTTATATATAAATAAATGTTTATTTATATCATCACCATCAAGAATGCTCTGGTCCGAAAGTTGAGGAGCCGTCCTAATACCGTCTTTCTAGGCGGTTTGCGATAGTAATTCTTTAGTTAAATTTGTATGGTATATTCTTTGTCAAGTCTAGTTTATTCGTATCAATTTTCAGTTCAAAATTCGATCAGAATACTTTCATACGGAAGAAAATCCACCGTAAGTATATTCAAGTTGAGTCTATATTACTTCGTACATTATTATTATTATTATTATTATTATTATTGTCTAAATCACATTAAGCATATAATATTGTTGAAAGGGTACGGTAAATCTGACATTACCTAGCTCTTGAATACAAGTATAATATACTTACAGTGGATTTTCTTCCATATGTTGTTGTTGTTCTTCTGGAGGAATCTCATCGTCATTTACTGTCTTCCTTTCTAACTTCTTCTTTTTGATCTTCTTCATCTCTTTCCAACTATCCACTCTATTCTTCCAAATCGGGTTCCCCGATACGTCATCATTGTATTCTTCAAGTTATATAACAACATGCAAGATCAATAAGTCTACACTTAACTCCTGAAGCGCGCGCGCGGTTGAATTATTACTTTCTTAATTAATTTGTCGCTCTTTTAACCATTACGAATGCAACACTCAAATAAACATGCATGCTTAATTATCAATATCTTATTTAACGGAAGATATATACATGTTATTGTGAATAGTGATATCAAGTAGTCCATCCATCATTAAGTTATTCTCTCAACTATTTACAGCAAAAGTTGAAGACTTGATGTAGCAAAAACAAAAACAAAAATCTCACCACTGTCCACGGTAGAAATGATGCTAATGTTTCTAGCATGAATTCCAAGCTCCTACAATAATTCAAAGTGAACATGCATTATATATATGTTAGTTTCTCATGAATTAGATCAGAATATTGCATGTGTTTGTTATATTTACGTCCGAAATATATATAAATATAGTATTGAAAAATAATTGTATTCATATATACCTCGGGATTATTAAGTTGAGTAGGCAATGTTGTGTGGTTGTATGATCCCTCTGTTTCTCTTTCCTCCATTTCCAAGTTTCCTACAACATAAACAACTCCAAATCTTACCGTTGACCCATGTAACAGGACATTCTCGGTGTACACAAAATGTGTACAGTGCATATACACACAAGCAACTGTGAGACAAATGTTGCCTTTTTCTTAACGAGTGTACACAGACAACTAGTGGTACACAAAAAGTGTACACATTTTTCTTATCATTCCGCATATATACATGATAAATAAACATATCTTGAAAAATGTATAATGGTTCCAAATGTAATTTGAAAAGGACATGCATCTCATTGAGTATAGCTCACTTGATCATTTGGAGTGATGTGAGAGTTAAATGTCAAAAATGGACTCCATCCATATGAGAATAGTGTATTAACTCTTATTTCTCTGCATTCCACCACCGTCAATAAAATACACTCTTCATATTTTTTTACATATCAATTTAGTAAAACACTAATTAAATTATTATAAGTAATGGTTTCCTTTTATTTTTTTCTCTGATTAATTATAAAATAAAAAAGACACATTTCGATGTGAAAATAAATAAATTTCATTAATTTTTTTAACGTTTTTCGGTTAACAAAAAATGAATTGAATTCAAGTAAAGTTTGATTATGGAGTATTCAATTATTTGTGAAGGCTCCATTAATTAAAAATTTGTGTTTCTTGTTTTTTTGGGTTTCAAGAAAACTTCAACAGTTAAAACTTCATATATTTTTTTTCATTTTATATATTACATATTGGTGTCATATGAAAGATCATAAAAATTTACGAATTTTGATATATTTTTTGAAACAATTGGAGAAAAAATAAAAAAGTTATACGTACTACTCCCTCCGTTCTTCGTTATCTGTCCCGCTAGCTTTGGGCACGGGTTTTAATAGAAAAATAGTAGGGTAAATGTAGAGTGTATAAGGTAAATGATAAAGTAGGAAAAGGGGTATATTAAAAAAGAGTAAAATGGTGATAAAGTGATGATAAAGTAGGAAAGAGAGTATATTAAGTGGAGTAAAGTTATGATAAAGTAGGAAAGAGAAAGTAGTTTGTAAAAAGTGAGAGGAGTAAAAGTAATAAAAATTGGGGTATTTTATCAAAAACTTTCCTAAAATAGAAAGAAAGACAAATAATAAAAAACGTCCCAAAAAGGAATGTGAGACAGTTAATAAAGAACGGAGGGAGTGTAAGTTTAAAAAAATTGAGATATCATCCGCACAAAATAAGCAACATTGCATCCATCCTTGACACCCTTCAAATGTACCCCTCCATTCCCTTCTTCATTTTTACTCCCTCATTTAGCCAACCACAACAAGGATTTAGGAGTCCATCTTTAACATTTTGGACTCCTAATCCTACACCACTTCAAGTAGTGGTCTTAGAGATACATCCTCCCTTTCCCATTTAGAAAACCATGATACACCTCAGGAGTTAATAAACTCAAAATGATAGTAATGATAACAATTTATATCTGTCCCACATCAAACTCACATGCTCTAATAAAACACTATATAGATTTAAGCATGCATGGATGGATGAGGGCGGGCAAGCATACCAGCGGCATCAGCAGAGGCAGTGCCGCAGCGGATGCAAGCTGCAGCGCTGCGGCGGCAGCCTTCCTTCACCTCCCCACAAGGTTTGCACACCGGGTAGCTGTCTCCGCACTCACGGCAGCCCACAAAGAAGACGAACTCTTCCTCTTCACCGCAAACCGAACACCTAGTTGGAACGCCGCCACTGCAGCCTCCGCCACCCTGCTGCTGCATTGGTGCACACACACTTTTCCGACGTCGTCTCTGATCCGTATATATCGTTCTTCTCTCAAAGCTATGATTTAATTTGCACGAATATATATAAAGATCAAATGGAAGTTATATTAAGCTAGCTGCTCTAAGCTATGTATATATACTAGCTAGCTAGCTAGCTGGGTTAATTAATTGGCGTGGGTACGTGGTTGGTAATTTTTTGTGAGGAAGCACAGCAATGTCATTTTCTTTGCTCTTAATTAATTACGAGTACTTTCTTTTTGTTAGTTCAAAGCCCGCCAGGCCAGGAATTTTGCTGGAACTTCAAGGAAAGTTTATTGTCACGGTCGTTGGACTTGCATTCTATACTATATACATCAAAATAAACCAACCAACCAACCAACGGCTGGTACGTTCTTCATTCAATGTTACGTTAGTTTAAAGGGTGGATCCATAAATCCCAAGGGATTAAGACATCAATATTATTAAAAATTAACCCTTGTATGAAATAGTTTTTTAAAATATCCGAAGAAGAGACAAAAAAGGATCAAGAGGGACTAGGAGTGGACAAGAATCCACTCTCGTGTTTTCCCATTTCAATATATCCCATAATGGTACCTGTGTTGTCCGTTCCCTTTGTCCCGCATCGATCTCCTTATGGTTGGACTAGGTCGGGTTCGGGCCGGGATTGGGCGAGTTCTAGGCACAAAAACATCAGGCCCGATACCAGCTAGGAATGGACCCGGACCAAACACCGTCGGTCCCGGTTTTTTAAACTGAGGACCGGAACCGGATCGGTCTACCCGGCCGGTCCCGGTCCTGTTCCGGACCGGTCTACCCGGCCGGTCCCAGTCCGGTCCGGTCCTGGTCCAGTCCCGGTCCAGACCTTTTTTTTGAAGTTATTGAAAAATAAAATCAGGATGTATATTTATTATTATAAACACTACAATGTCACTTATATCAATATCACATTTGAAAATTACAATTGAGAATACTTTAAAGTTGAAAATTACAATGCATGAACTAATCGTCGTCGCCGCCGCTTCCGGCGTCGGTTGTCGTTTCCTCCATGAAATGGCGATCCGATGCTATGTTGAGTTCTTGTGTTCTACGGCGGCGTGCCTCAATCAAGCATGGAAGCAAACTAGTGTCTCAAGAGATGAAGCGCTCAATCTCGTTCTATAGTCAGTTAAAACATTACCGCGCTGGCTAAACTCTTGTTCCACAGCAATAGTTGAAACCGGCATCGACACCACTTGTTTGGCCATTTTTGATAAAATCGGAAACATCCTTTCATGTTTCTTCCACCATTCAAGAATATCAAAGTCCTCCGCTTCATTATACTAAACAGGAAACATTATATATAAAGAGAGCTCGTTAATCAAGCTTTGTGCAACGGCAAGAGTTGATTTACTTTTTTCAAAAGAGTAGATATTGTTGATTAAAAAGGCTTTTTCCTAGATGAGGAAGCACTCGATGTTGGGGGAGGGCCGTATTGATGGACTCGGGCAGGGTCGGGCCCGGGCCGGTAGGCCGGGTCGGGCCCGGGCCGGGCCTAGGCCCGGTCGGGCCGCCGGGTTGTATGACATGGGCCCGCGACCGGCCCGAGGGTTGGACGGGTCCGGTTCGGGCCGGGCCATCCACCCGGGTCACGGGTCGGGTCCGGTTCGGGCCGGTTAATTTTTTATATATATAATTTATATTTTATAGTTTATGGTTTTATAAGAGTATTAAAAACAAACTTCAATTGCATTTATTTGAAATGAAATAGGAACTACATTTGAAAATTAAAACAAACTTTAAGAGATAAACATTTTGAAAATTGTAATCAATCGGAACTTCCCGCACCTCCCGATCCTTTGGCTTTGTCACATGACTTCATATGCTTGATTGCCATCCTGAATCCGCCTGAAACCCCCATGCTACATTTTTTCTCACACCATTTGCAAATTGCGTACCACATCCCGATCTTCGGGTCCCTGTGCTTATCAAAATTATACCATATAATGGCATCTTGATTTTCCATCTTAACTTCTTAAGTATAAACTATAAAGTAGATATATAAATAATAAATATAATATATTGGAGAATAAGAAAATTAGAGAGTAGAGAGTTAAGAATAGGATTTAGGAAGAATTGGAGAAGAGATATGAAAAAATGTTTAAGATTAGGAGTATTTATAGGGTTTTTTACCCCCCACCCCCCACCACCACCCAACCCCCCCTTTACCCCACCCAACAGCTATATAGCCGTTTGGGTTGTCCCAAGCCCCACCCCCAACGGCTAGTAGCCCAAGAGCCCAAACAAAAAATTTTTTTTTTTAAAATAAGACCGGACCCGGGCCCGGGCCCGACCCGGCCGGGTCACATTAATCCAGCACCGAGCCCGTCCCGCCCATTCCCACCGGTTCGGGTCCATACCCGGTCCCGGACCGCCCGACCGGGCCGGGCCGGGCCGAGCCGGGTCACGGACCGGGTGGCCCGAACCGAATCCACCCCTAGGGAGGGAGTGTGTTACCATATTGTGCATAAAACTTATTAAATAAATCGTGAGATCAGCACATCATGCGAAAAATGGACCGATCACACGGTATAATTTACGAAAAAAGAATAACAAACTCGCGTGGCATTTCATGATGATCATACTACAGTACTACCGGGGGCGTAGCTAGGGGTGGCCCACCCCAAATTTAAAAAATGTCAATATTTTTAATGTAAAAAATTCTGTGTAAAAATTTTTCCAATAATATTTTTTGTACCGGCCCAATCTGGCTCAGTGCCCTGATTCCGTCCCTGAGTACTACTAAATGCAGTCATGCATTCATGCAGACAATAATTTATTTTTTGGGATTTTATTTAGGGTGGGAGTTAAATTTAAAGTACACTTGCACATCTAATGTTTAAATTTCAAGTCACAAGACTGCGCGCGGGCAAGTTAGAAATATTACAATGATTTCACGGTTCAAGTGTTTTGCAACTAAGATTTTAAGCGACTATCTCGATGCTCTCTAAAATTCCTCCGAAGCGGACCCCCCCACCCCACCCCCACCCCCACCATCCCACACAGGCTTCTTTAGAAACTCGCACATCTCTGCACCCATCAGTTACCACTTTGGTAAAACCTTCACTCCCACCCCTCCAGCCTTGCAGTTGAATATCACCCCAGACTAGCTTGTTCTGGGAATAATGCAATTATAAATGCTACAATAAAACATTCAGGCAATTGTATAAACCTTGACCATTTTAGATGTATCACACACAACCAGATTATCGGAGTCGATCGGGGCAGTACAAAGCCAGTTCACCTGAATTTGTAAATGTTATTAATCATAAGCAGCTACACAATATACACGTGTGTCCGTGTTTGTGTGTGTGTGTAGGGTGCAAAATGAGCAAGGAATCCAAGGATGCACCTTCACGGCTTCACATTCAAATTTTTACATTTTTTGTGCTGACTACAAAATTTAGTTTATTTATGTACCAAAATTCCACTGTTTTTGAATCATGTTCATGCAACACATTTAGAAACCTTAGACCTTAAATCTAATGGTCCTGATCAGGTTGCATTTTGCACATGAGAAGAAGATTTTTATTTGAACCTATACATATATACATATATATATATGTAAGTGTGTATGTATATATATATGTGTGTGTATATATGTATATATAGGTGTACATATATATGAGAACTGAGCATTATATGTGCGCAGAATGCACCATATGTTTCAAGAATGTAATTGAATGTCTTCCTTATGTAATTTTGAACTTAAATTTGGTATGCATAAACTAGACTTGATGAGGAACATGCTCAAAAAATTTCATCAAAAAATTCCACCGGAAAGACCCTCAAACGGGCAAGTCCGCACAGCCCTTCCTGTCGGGCGCCCCCTTCCTGTCAGGCGCGCCTGACAGGATCATTCCTCGTACACACACATATATATAGAGAGAGAGAGTCCCATTCCTGTCCAGCCAGCCTGACGGGAACCGCCGTACGGCCGAGGGCATTTTGGGACCTTCCCGGTTGAATTTTTTATGAAACTTTTTGAGCAAGTTCTTTATCAAGTCTAGTTTATCCATACTAAATTTTAGCTAAACATTCCATCGAGAAGGTAGTCAAATAATTTTTTGAAGATGACTGCGCTTTATATATATAAACAACACAGTCTTTTTCAATTACACGTTTTGACTGCCTTCCCGATTGAATATTTAGCTGAAATTTGGTATGGATAAACTAAACTTGATGAAGAACATGCTCAAAAAATTTCATCAAAAAATTCCACCGGGCAGGTCCTGAAATGCTCTCGGCCGGATGGCTGTTCTTGTCAGGTCTGCTGGACATGAATTGTCCTCTCTATACACACACACATATAGAGAGAGAGGGAGTTGGATTCTAATATACGGAGTACATCATAACGTGAGAAATGAGAAGACTCCACTTTTGCTTCCTTTTGATGCACTTTTACGTTTATCTATTGCACTTTTACATGATGAAAGAAATGTTTCAGTTGATAACGAAAAATGCCACTGCATTATTTTCCACTTTTTTGTAGCATTTCTATACTTTTACCGCCATTCGATCTCAATCCAACACACCAGATGCATTCTCATTTCTTACAATATGCATTCATCTAATTTGATATAGTAATTTGATAAAAAACTAAAATCAGTTTAACAACCTTGGGGTAAATGCTAGGAGTCACTAACCAGAATTTTATTAAAAGGGGGACAAGTACAAAAGAGGACGTAAAGTCACACCTCATAAAACATTACAAAGTACGAGTGTGGGGTACACCCCACTAGTCTAAAAGAAAAGAGCCTCTCATGAAAGGTGGAAGTTCATCAGTCTGGTAAAGAAACCGTTTGAATTTTGACTTATTACAAAAAAGATGCTATGCATATCCTAAACAATGATTGAAAATAATGAAAGATTGAGATTAAAGTTCTCATTATAAGTAGTTCTCATTTTAATATGGGCTCTCATTGAGTTTGTGATCTAATGGTTCTAGATATATTAACAATGCATTGTACAAACACGCAATGGTATTTTTGAAAAGAATACAAAAAAGTTCTTCATTGCAAAAATTGCACTTCTTGAATATATCAGTGTAAACTGTATATGATCAAAATTGCAGACCGAAAATCATCTGGATGCAAGTATGCAACAGTGTGCTGAGTACGATAAAAAGTAGAGTTGTTCGCACTTTCATGGGAACTCCACTTTTTATTGGGATCGAACTCTATATATGTGTATGTGTGTGTTTGTATATTTGTATGTACTTCGTATATGATTCAAGAACACACAAAAACATTACTGCATTAAATTCAAACTTACTTTTCTGCTTAAATTTAATTTGAGATGCAAAACATCTGCGCTGGTGGTTGTTCCATCATCACTAACAGCTTTTAACCAATCCCAAATCCTTATTTGCCTGTCGTTCCCACCCGAAACTACAAACTTCCCCTTCTCTCCTCCAAACAGTGAAAATGCGCTAATATAAGAAAAACCAGGAATCTTATTTAAGCCAACTTAGTGTGACCTAAGCACTTGTTTGGTTGGAGGAATTCTGAGACAGGTGTGAGATATTATTATTGTTGTTGTTGTTATTGTTGTTGTGTTCTTACATTATACACATGTTTAAATAATTATTTTAGTACATAATTTAACTAAACTTGAAGTTATTGTGTTTGACTCATTTTCATTTTCATTTACCCCAGTGCCGCAAAGGCTCCCACCTACGGTGGGGTAAGGGGGGGTCGGATGTACACAGTCTTACCTCTATACTAAAGCACAGAGAGACTGTTTCCGGATGACCCATAGTGAAAATCGCGTCCAAAATTGCATGGACTGAATGCTGCTTCATAGCAAAGAAGCGCAGACAGTTTAGTGAGCCATTTTGCTTTATTCCATCATAATCTCAAGCCAAAAAATAATGAATCTTTGGCTCCATTGCAAAAGTTATTGTGTTTGACTAATAAAGATAAATTAGAAAATCAAATATGAGTTTAATACGAGCCTAAAATCATACTTCATATATATTAGTAATATAGTATCAATATTCCGGTTGTACATTTCTTTAATTACATTCACATGTAGAATATGTGAGCAGTACAAATGGAGGTTCAAATATTTGATCAATAGTATCACGTACTTGCAAAGCTTACTTTAAATAGACTTCGACAAGGTCGCATCTCTCTAGGTTTTTTGTGAAGGACCACTCTATCATATCACAACCACGCTCATAACACAATCTAACCCTCCAACAAAACAAGCTTAACAAGTTGAGCAACTGACAAAGAAAACTTACACACAGGAAACTGCGGCAGTATGCCCTCCTAGAGTGTGATCTAGTCTCAAGTTCCCTACTTGGGAAGCTTCCTTGGGTTTAGAAGAGCGCTTTGATGGTTTAGAAGAAGAACTGAGATCCGAATCGATATTCAAGATATCAACAACACCATCGCCCCTAGCCACAGCACAATACTTTCCCACTTTATCCACCATGTCAACTTCAGGAAGTGCCAGTGCGTGGACAAAAGAAGGGTTCAAGCACTGTCCCTGGTTCTCTTTATTTTTCGCATCTGCTATGCCAATGTCAAGACAAGAAGTGCTCATTTAGCCATATCGTATACAAGAATTGAAAAAATACTTCAGTTGTAGAGTTGGCAAAACTGATATGAGCTACTTTTTCTTTTGAAGTCTACTTCTAAATTTGAATTTAAACAAAGCCAACAACAATTTAAGGGTTATCAGCCTCACAACCTTTGTTACAATGAACGAGAAATATCAGAGTTGATCACATGTGAATGAGGAAAAAGAATTCACTAACCAACTGGAAATCTACCTCATGTCTACAAAGCATCATAATCAATTAATCATATAATGAAATACTGTTGCAATTATGTTGTCTATTACAGATATCCTAACCTTCATTAAATGTATTTGCTACATCATTTAAAGATCCTATCAATGCGCAGCTTGAGCCCTCTTGCGCACTGGGCCCACTCTAGCTCGTAGTGCTTTTAAAAAGATGAATAATACGGAGTAGTATACAAAATCCAATACGAATTATAAATCTTATTCACACAACACTGGTGATCTCAATACTAAAACTAATGAACAGCTATGAAACAAGAAGAGATTATTAGTAAAGCTTCTACCGAAGTCCACAATATTCTTAGGTCGCCCCTTTGAGAAGTCCCATACAACAAGCTTTGAATCAAGGCCGCCAGTAACGACTGCAGTACAAGAATGGAACAACAAACCACTAAAATTGGATTTGAAATACTAAAATTTAATCCCAAAACATATTTTGCATGAAATAGAATGTGCGTGCATGGTAAGATTAACAAGATGTCAAAGGAAAACCCACAAAATTTAAATCTGAAGCATCATGAATCTTCTGAATGAGGAAAAAATAACCAGTTTTCTTTATGTAGTTTCCTGTGTGTTAAGAATTGACTTTAGTTACCATCACAAGGACTCAACATAAAGAAGACAATATTTTTAATTTTATAATTTCATAATTGCTCTGTGTACTATTAAAATATAATATGCTATTAAAAGGTACCTTCCCAAGGTCTCCAGGGAATAAATTGCACACTGCTACAAATCTAAATAAATAGTGAAGAATATCAATGATCAAAGTCACATACAGAGTGGGGATAAATATGTAAAGACATTTTTAAAGAAACAATGGTCATAGTCTCAAAGGGCAAATATATTATCATGATAGTTCTGTAGACTTTGTACTTGGGACACAAGCCTTTGCACACTTGAAAAGTTACCAAAGGATACACTTGTATGACCTGCTCTTAGAGTCTTATAAAGGCAATGTCGACGGATATCAACAATCTGCAACGAAGCAACAATCAGCATACGGGCCAAGAACTCACAGAAAGATCAACTAATACTCTGCATAACTTTGGCTACTTTGCTCATTCATATTCCATTTTAAAAACATTACAAGCTACCCATATTTTTTCCAGAAAGCTAGTTTGCCATTGGAAAACATTGGAGTATAGTAAGGCTGCAATTGGCTAAAATACCTTGACATCTCCACTGTCATCTGCTGCAGCAAGGAAAGATGAACTTACAGTGCAAGCAATCTGCCATCAAAACACACACACACACACAAATTATGATAGAACGCTTGTAAAATAATACACCCTCCATCCCGCAAACATGTTCCTGGTTTGACCTACACATATTTATGCAAGATAAAGTTTTGCTTTGAATTTCTAATTATACCCTACTTTATGTTATATTGAGCAAGATAAAGTTGTGACATTTTTCTATTAAAATATTCTGTATTTGGAAATAGAAATTTTATTTTGGTCATCATCATCATCATTACCCTAGTGCCGCAAAGGCTCCCACCTTCGGTGGGGTAAGGGGGGTCGGATGTACGCAGTCTTACCCTTGTAGGCTTGTACTAAAGCACAAAGAGATTGTTTACACAAATTTTATTTTGGTACATTGAAAAAATGAAAGTGGGAACTTCTTTTCTGGACAGGGAATATTGAACTCACAGCATGTCTATCCCTCCCTCAGGGAAAAAATTGGAGTGCACATGAAAAGTCATATAAGACCTAAATTGCCCGACAGCCTAATATAATGCTCTATCACATGCTTCCACGCACTCATAGAGAGGGAATGACGGTTGAATTATATAATCCTTAAGATAAAAAGTCAAAATGCATAATTTCCTGCATTAGATCTCAACGGTTTTGATCTACTTTTGACTTATTTTTACACAACAACAACATCCAAGCCTTAATCCCAAAAGAGTTTGTGGTCGACTAACATGAATTGGCACATGACATCGCAGTTAAAAATAACTAATAGTAATTAATAAAGATAAAGGGAGTCAAACAAATCAATCCTCCACATGTAATCATGTACTCTCCCTCCATTTCGCTCTTTCCAAAATCATACTCCCATCTACCCAAGAAGTACCATATCATTCTTCAGTCTTCACCACTCTAATCAACGTCTGTCTAGGTCATCTCCTCCCTCTCCTCCCTGCCTCCTCTCCCCACCTCTCAATTCATTTAAGAGATGCATCACTCGGTCTTCTACACACATAGCAAAAAGTTGGAGTAGCATCTATTGAAAATATAACAATTCAATATTACTAAGCATTGTCTATACTTTTAAGAATATCTGAGATACATCAACTTAGTTTTATTATTATTCCAAAACAGTTTTACTTGCTAAATTTCATTAGTAAAGACACACATGCATCATAATCCACATGACAAATCAGAGCTACCAAGAGGCGGAGCTAACTACTATAACAGGAATTAAATGGCATATAACCTGATTTATTTCATCCTTGTTGTAATTGTAGCTCTCCAATGGTTTTGATGACTTGCCCTTCATATCAGAATGGTAAAAGATATTCTCAATAAAGTAAAGAAATAATAAAAGAGAATATACTCTTCGAACTTCAAAGTATAGCATATAAAGAGCATTAGAAATTTAAGAAAGGGAATGTTGTATAGAGGATGATAGAACACCTCTCCAGTACACAGTAACAACACACTCCAATTCAATGTGGTTTGTTTTATTGATAAAACTCAAAATCGAAGTCTGGGAATAATGAAAGATAAAGGAATGAAAATAGCAGAAAATAAAATTGAGATCTTTCGAGAGGATCCTGCTCTCCCAGTTCCGAACAATTCCCAGATGCCCTTCTCTTTCTGCTTCAGTCTTCTTTTATTCGTTTCCTCTCCACCTGCGGACTATTCCCATTCCTTTAGTCCGTTAATTTCTGCCTCCACTTCCTTTCTCTGGTCATTTACCTTCTTGCCCCTCCTTTTATAAACTTTTGAGAAATCCCTATGGGGATTTATGTTGAATAAGGCAGTGCTCGTATCATCACCCCTCCCCCCCTTTAAAAACACATTTTCCTCAAGATGTAGCTCTAGCTCAGGAAATTGTAGCTTCAGCAACTCCCAATCTTCCCAGGAATCTTCAAACTGTGGTAGATTTTTCCAATGAACCAGCACCTCTCAAGTTCCCATTGCTGAAATTCTGGTATCTATTACTTTTTCTGGTTGGCATTGTAACTCCCATTCTTCTGAAATGCAAGAAGGCAGTGGTTGGCAAGGTATATTTGGGTTAACTGTCTTTTTCAATAGTGAAATATGAAACACCGGATGAACTGCACAACCTTCCGGTAACTTCAATTTATAGGCCACCGGATTAATCACTTCAACCACTTCGAATGGACCATAAAAAAGGGCTCAGCTTCTGATTTATTCTCTTAGCCAAACTCTTTAGTTTATAGGGCTGTATTTTTTTAGAATACCGTAGCTCCCACTTCAAAATTTGAAGGTCCCTTCTATGCTTGTTGGCCTGTTGTTTCATCTGGTTTTGAGCTACTTCCAGGTTATGTTTCAGTTCTTGTAGAATCCCATTTCTCTCAGCTGTTAATTTAGACACCTCATCCACTGCAGTTAAGCTGGTATCTCCTTTGACTAATATAGGTGGATCTTGTCCATATAGGGCCTTGAGAGGAGTGCTCTTTAGGGATGTGTGATAATTGGTATTGTACCAATATTCCGCCCAGGATAACCGCTTCGGCCACTGCTTGGGTTTATTTCCAGTTATACATCTCAAATAACTTTCAAGATACCGGTTCACCACTTCAGTCTGCGCATCGGTTTGCGGATAATAGGCAGTACTGTACTTCAACTTTGTCCCCGCCATTTTGAGTAACTCGGACCAGAATGTACTTAGAAAAACAGTCCCTATCCGAGACAATAGTTTTAGAAAACCCATGAAGGTGGGCCACCTCTTGAATGAAAACTTCTGCGACTCCTTTGGCCGTATATGGGTGCGTAAGAGCAATAAAATGTGCAAACTTGGTTAGTCGATCAACCACCATCAATATGGAATCTTTACCCATTGCTCGAGGAAGCCTTCCGATGAAATCCATGCTGATGTCCCCCCAAATTTGACTAGGAATAGGCAGCGGTTGAAGCAGCTCTGTTGGACTCAAGTTCTGAGACTTATTGCACTGACATATGTCACAGCTTCTCACATATCTTTGAATATCTGGCCTCATACCTTCCCAGAACACAACATTAGATATTCTTTTAAAGGTCCTGAGATAACCCGAATGTCCCCCACAAGCAGAGTCATGAAACTCTTTTAAGATAGTTGGGATTCTGGGTGATCCTTTTGGGATAACCAATCTGCCTTTGTAGTAAAGTAATCATTTTCTCAATCTGAACTCTGCGTGTGAATCTGGCTGTCCAATGAGATCCTGGATCAGTTTCTGGCACCTAACATCTTTCAACAATTCTTCTTCTAAACCCTCCCACTCTTTACAAGTAACCACTAACAATGATGTTAAGCAACCTTTTCTGGATAAAGCATCAGCAGCTTTATTCTCACAGCCTTGCTTATATTTAATAATAAAATTATATCCCATCAATTTAGAAATTCATTTATGCTGGTCCTCTCCGAGCAACCTTTGTTCTGTAAGGAATTTTAAGCTCTTTTGATCAGTATGCACTTCGAAACTCCGTCCCAAAAGGTAAGGCCTCCATTTCTGAATGGCCGACACTATAGCCAATAATTCTCTTTCATAAACTGACTTGCTCTGATTTCAGGCAGATAACACCTTGCTCAAGTACGCTATGGGTCTCCCTTGTTGCATTAAGACTGCCCCTACTCCGGTCCCTGAAGCATCCGTCTCGATAACAAATGTCTTTTCAAAATCTAGGGTAGCTAAAACTGGTAATGATGTCAGGGCTACCTTCAATTTTTCAAACGCTGCTATCGCTTCCGGATTCCATTGGAATCCATCCTTCTTAAGCATATTTGTTAGAGGGGTAGCAATTTTGCTATATACTTTAACAAATCGTCTATAATACCCCATTAACCCCAAGAAACCCCTCAATCCTTTTAAGTTGTGAGGCAGTGGCCAATCAATCATGTCTTGGATCTTGCTAGGGTCTGCCTTCACCCCTTGTCCAGAAATGATATGACCAAGGTACACCAGTTGAGTCTGCCCAAATCTGTATTTTTTATTAACCACCATCTGATTAGCTTCCAAAGTGTGAAGTAGTAGTCGGAGGTGCTCTTTATGTTCCTCTGAGCTTCTACTGTAAATCAAAATGTCATCAAAGAACACTAAAACAAATTTCCTGAGGTATGGTTTTAAAACTTGATTCATTAGAGACTGAAAAGTGGAGGGAGCATTTGTTAACCCGAAGGGCATCACTAGGTATTCATAATGCCCTTCGTGTGTTCTAAAAGCTGTTTTGTGAATGTCTGCCTCTTTCATGCGGATCTGATGGTAGCCTGACTTGAGATCCAACTTGGAGAAAATCTGTGCATGTCCCAGCTCATCTAGAAGCTCCTCTATGACCGGTATTGGGAATTTATCTGGGATGGTGATCTTGTTCAAGGCCCTATAATCTCCGCAGCACCTCCATCCTCCCTCCTTTGCCAGAATTACAGGACTGCTGTAAGGACTGTTGCTTGGTCTGATTATCCCTACCTTCAGCATTTCATGCACTAACTTCTCAATTTCACCTTTTTGGTACTGAGGGTAACGATATGGTCTAATGTTGGGAATGGTAGCACCATCTTTAATATTGATAGCGTGATCACAATTTCTATTAGGAGGTAAACCTTGAGGCGCCTGAAACACTGTAGGAAATTCTGAAATTATCTCTTCCCATTCCTTCCCAATTTCTTGTTTTTCAGAAGTTAACTCTTAACAGTGGATAAAATAACCCTCTCCTTTCCCTTGCAGCGTTTTCATCAAACCTTTCCAAGAAGCAGTGGCTTTACTCAGAGATGAATCACCTTGTATCTGCTTCTTCTGACCATCCACTTCCCACTGAATAGTTAATCGTTTGAAATCAGCTTCCACTTTTCCCAAACTAGCCAACCATTTCATGCCCAACACCAAGTCCGTTCCTCCTAGGTCCAAGATATAAAAATCTTGTTCAATCCACAGGCCTTGAATTCTAACTGGAAGCTTTTTGCACTTCCCTTGATTGTAAATGTTCATTACATTCCCATTTCTACTTGGAACTTAGAAGTCTGACAGAAAGGAAGATTTAAAGTTGTGCAGAGCGTTTGAGAAATAAAATTGTGCGTTGCACCCGAATCAATAAGTATGATTACGTGTTTACCCTTCTCATGGCCCTTTAAATGTCCTGTAACCTTAAAAGTGCCCTGAACTGAAATGCATTCTTTGCTCAGAATTGATAATTGTAGATATTTCAATTCCTCTACAGGAACCTCCACTTCCTCAATTGCTCCTGAGTCCTGAGTCCTCCTCTTCCTCAGTTCTTTCTGGTTTTTCCAGTACCACCAACTGATAATTCTTCATGGTACATTTGTGATCTTTGTTCCACTTATCCCCACATTTAAAACAGAGACCCCGTCTACTCCTGTCCTGTAGTTCTGCCTGGGATAGCCTTTGACCACTTTGCCCTGTCTTGGTTACTTTGACTGCCTCTTCACCTTCGAGTTTAGGGTCAAATTTCTGATCTGGTAGGTCTCGTGTAATCTGGCTTTTGTTTTTTATTCCTTCATTCCAGGGTATATACCTGGAAGTGGTACCCCCACGTTCTTTCCACCCACGTTTATCTTCCTCCTTGGAACTTATTACTCTGAAAGCTGCATTTTTTTCCCAAGAGTAGTGCTCGATCCATGAGCTCGGTTCAAACACTGAGATGGATACAATTTCTGTTCGGCTTTGATTTCATCCTTCAGGCCATTCATGAAAATACCCTTAAGCATTTCATAATCAGTGTTCCTGATGGGGGTTACTACCAGTTCGAATTTATCCCGATACTCCATAACTGACCCTGTCTGCTTCACACTAAGCATTGGTCCAAATGGGTTTTGAACCATCTCCGGTGGAACCAGCGAATAACTGCCTCCTGGAAATTTTCCCAAGTACGAGCCGTGGTCTGTTCCTCCCACCATTGGAACCAATTTAAAACCTTGTCCTCCATAGCTACTACCACCATATCTATTTTCTCATTTTCCTTAACTTGATTCAACCAGAAAAATCTCTCTGCCTTAATTATCCAGCCATGGGCATCCTCCCCATTAAAAACAGGGAATTCAACCTTTCTGCCCGTACGAGCATAACATCGGTCTAGAGCAGTTTCCGGAATATGGGATGAAGCGTGAGAGCTGTTAGACTTACCTGTGGTATGCGACGAGTTCACACTTTCGTCCCGCGATGATGCTTCGACACCCGCGATTGTCCTCGCCTCCCCTGGCGATTACTGTGTAACATCATATTCTTCACTTCATCCACCGCCGCGCGCAGGCCCAGCAGTTCGTCCACAGTGGTTTTCACTTCCGCTAGGGTTCCTTCGATGCTTTCCACACGTTGCTCCATTTTAGAACGGGTGTAGATCATCCACATGTATCTCGATCACTGCTTTGATACCAATGATAGAACACCTCTCCGGTACACAGTAACAACACACTCCAATTCAATATGGTTTTGTTTTATTGATAAAACTCAAAATCAAAGTCTGGGAATAATGAAAGATAAAGGAACGAAAATAGCAGAAAATAAAATTGAGATCTTTCGAGAGGATCCCGCTCTCCCAGTTCCAAACAATTCCCAGATGCCCTTCTCTTTCCGCTTCAGTCATCTTTTATTCATTTCCTCTCCACCTGCGGACTATTCCCATTCCTTTAGTCCGTTAATTTCTGCCTCCGCTTCCTTTCTCTGGTCATTTACCTTCTTGCCCCTCCTTTTATAAACTATTGAGAAATCCCTATGGGGATTTACGTTGAATAAGGCAGTGCTCGTATCAGAGGATAGATAGTAATGTATTACAATCAAACAAAAAGTGCTACCCAATCCATCAAGAGTGGGTGGGGAGGTAAACGGTAAGGGACTAATGGAAGAAATAACATAATGGTTAATCAGTGGGATGTATTTCTGCTATGACCAATGGGAAAATACCATATTCACTTCGAAACACTTGACTTCATTTCCTGATGATGCATAAATTATATCTTCATTTCCTACAGCGAGTGAGAACCAAAAGTTTGAGAACAAGTCCTTTCAAAAAGAACAAACAACATCATTGGAAATCGCAGTGCACCAAGTAATAAAAAACATTTTCTTACGCTATTAACAATTTTCTCCTTATACTTTCTTAGTGAAAAGTTATTGCATACTTTCTTAGTGAAAAGTTATTGACACTGGTTAATAATGCAGCAACAAAATCTGTTAGCATACTTAAAAAGTATTCCTAAATTAGTATTATGACATCACTTAAGCTCAACTTAAGGATGTTTTAAGCATAGAAATTAGAAAAGTATGTGATTATAACTTTATGATCAAAGTGGATTATTATGAATCCCAGGGAGTGAAATATTTGTAGTTATTCCCCATATATCATACTGCTCAATATTTCAATTCTTGAGACAATTTAATAAATGTATTCTTTACTACTCCCTCCGTCCCATAAAATAAGTCCCATTTTCCTTTTTGGGCCGTCCCAAAAAATTGTTCCCATTTCCCTTTTTGGAAAGTTTTGTGTGGCTAACATTCATTTAATTTTTTCTTACTCAACCACAACCATACATTTCCACTTTATTCCCACTTTCTTAAACTCCGATCCAAATTGAAATGGGACTTATTTTATGGGACGGAGGGAGTATTTCATACGATACTTTCTCTCATTCTTAGTTCAATCCCCTCTAGCTAACACCTAATTGGTGTGTGGGGACTGTTTGTCGCCCTCTGGATTAACACTCCATAGAGCACGTTTAGTGAATGCTGTAATGGCTGAATCGGCTAAACTGGTTGAATTGGAAGTGTTCAGTGATTTGTTTGGCTAAAATGACTGGTTTCAATTACCTTATCTGCAGGCTCGTAGCATAATATTGGGTAATCAGATACCGTTTAAGAAAAAACATGGAATAAAAGATAATTAATAGATGTGTCATTAAAGTAATAAAAATGAATTAAAGTTTGAAACAACATTATGGTACAGAAAAATCCACACAATGATGAAAACGGTGGAGCATAATGTAAAACTTCCAACTCCGATACTTTTAAAATGCAAATTCTCACATTATTATATGTTTCTTCTCTTGCATAAATTATTTATGCTCTACCAAAATCCTATGTTACCAGGGCCGAACCGGCCTGGGCAGGTTGATCCGGAAACCGGTGACCAGCTGGGAATAACGGGCCGATTATGGTGAACCACATAAACTTACTTTTCTTAATATGAACCACATAAACTTATTTTTCTTAATAACCGCAAAACCTACTCTTGTACCAAACTTAATGGGGCGGAGGTAGTAGTTTGTACATAACCAATGCGACTACATACAGAGACTGGACACTTCCATGTGAATCTTGTAACTAGGTTGGCCACTTGACTGAAAAACTGGAAAATGGAGTGTGAAAATTGAGTTGTTGGTCCATATGCATAAGTCCATTAAAAGTACCCCGTTGATGCGATAAGAGGCCATCAAATCCTTCCATTGCGGGCTCAGTACTTTTCCCAAAGAGATGAGATACCAAGTGTAGCATAACAGGTTCCAACCTAGGCCCAAGGGAAATCGCCAATGCAATGTTGTTGCTGAAATTGCGGACTATTCAACGGGCTTACAACCTCAGATGCAGGTACATCAATGTGTTTTAGTGTCACTTCCTCCGCTATTTGAATCTGTGTAGCACAGCTTACCAGATCTAGTATAGAAAGTAGTGGCCTGGTGACCTTGGCACATGGCAGAGATAACCCCTCTCGTGTAAAAAGCCATCCAAAAAGAGGAGTTGTCAGCATCTTTAGCTTTTCTAGTGGTGCAACCGAAGTTGGAGGCAAGGGAGTTGGTGGAGGCTTTTTTTCCAGTGACGTAGTTAATTGCATGGGAACTAGTTGAAGTGATGCCAGGCTTTGTCAATAAACACAAGAATTACTTCTTCCCAAACTATTTTTTGAATAGTATTAATGACCCTTATATAACTATTACAAGATTCCTAATTATAAAAAAGAAATAAATACTAATTATGAAGCTGCTTGAGGCATATATAGGAATAATAATAGTAAGAATAATATAAAATTTCCTTGCTCATATCAGATTTATTAAATGATACATGGTCATGTAAAATAGTATCAAGTTACAATTACATTACAAAATTGGACTAGTTTTCTTCTACCAAACTTATATCTGTTTGCTTTCTATCTTTTAACATAGAATAATATTTACGTAACAATCTTTTAAATACTATAAACTCACATTTAATCAAATAACACTATCTAAACACAATTTAAATTTTGATTGAAGGCCATAATGCTTTTTACTAAAGATTTTTTCAAAATTGTTGAGTTATATTATGGAATGGAGTATATTTAATGTTTCAGTTTTTCGGTTAACCGACCACAAGTTTTTTCAAAAACCGTAACCATACCGTGAACAATATATCTCTATCGGTCGGTTGACCGCATCACAAGTTTGGAAGAAAAAAACACAGCGCAGTAACCTGAAAAACAATCGGCTTTTCAGTTTTTTGGGATCAGTTTTTCTGCTCCGGTTTTTGTGTCCACCCCTAACTATATTTGAGTCACTTTTTGTTGCATATATCACTGAACTATACTTCTAATAAATGTGCTCAAAAACACTATGCTGATAAAAAAAGGACTACCTGGACTAAATGGAGCCTAAAGTTACTACTTGAACTAAAGAGATGATTGTCCATAAATTTTCTTTACTTGTATGAATAAGAATACAGTATTTATTATCTAATTTCACCAGCATCCATGATATGTAAACATAATACTCACTAAGAACACATCATAATACAAACATATTTACATAAGAGCAAGGGGAACAATGCAAGAACAGATGATAAAATTGAAAGCACAACTTAGGGGAGAAAAGTAACCTGGGTTGAAACAGATTGACGAAATTGGATAATGATTCCCAACATCCGTAGTAAAAATCATATCTTTGCACCGCATATCAAACCAGCAAACGTTGCCATCCTATGGTTGAATTAAGAGCAATTGAATCACTTGAAATCGAAAGAGTAAATAAAAAGGATAAGACAATAAGAAACTGAACCTTAAAGCCGAATCCTATAATAATTAAGGATATTACCCAAATTTCCGGAAAGAATGATTTACTACTAATGGCAAAAGTATATGGAAGGGAAGCGGTCACCTCAGCCGCAGTAGCTACTAGGCCAGGGCGGCTCCGGGAAGCGATGCAGCATGTGGCAGTCGCTTTATGACCCCCCAGTCGTCTTGTTTCCGCCATAGGAGTCGAGTTTGGGTCCCGATAATGTCACTTCCGCTACGTTTGCTACGTCGTACTCCCTCTTGCTCAATAACAGAGTAAAAGGAACGCAATGGTCCTAGGTTCGTCGGTGTTAAACGAGTACAAAAGTCAACAGTGGCTCTTAAGAGCCCCTTGGTTAGCAATTTATATCGTGGGATCCTTGCCCCTTGGGCATGGTGCACCTATCCCAAAACGACATAATTTTGCTTCGTATTAATTTAAAAAGTGGGTATCGCCGTTGTTATTACGCCGTATTAAAGAAGCTATGTGTGTTCCTTCGAGAGAGAGCATCGGAAATTGGTCATGACATTCGCCGGCGAAGAAGTGACAGCGGTCCAACAGCTCATCCTCGAGGCGGCGGCGCAGCGGTGCAACAGTGCAGCGGCGCAGCTTTGGTGCAGTGGCGGCTGCGGCGCTCAACCATGATGGCATATTTGATGCGTCAATCTCATCCCTGCAGTCCATCGAAGATATGCTCTGTTCACAAAAACTTCTCAGCTTATTCCCTTTGATATTTTGTGCGCACTTTGGGTTTAATTATTCATTAAGAGAACATCTCTTCATCTAATACTCTCAAAGAAAGCTGCTGAGAGAACTCATTGGAATTTTGCTTATGAATTTTGCTTATTACTTTTTAAGAACTCAACTGGAATTTTTTTATACAATTTACATGTTGAAGATGACTGCTATGAATTATTTTTCTCAGTTTACATCTTGAACACACTCAAGTTACATCTGAATTCGCTTAAAGTTACATATTTATAAGCGTGAGTTACATGTCAACTTTTCTCAACGAGTTACATTTCACTTACACATGATTTACATTTTTTATAATACGAGTTACACCGCAATATAATGCGAATTACACAACAAAATAAGCTCCTTCTATTCAAAGAAAAATTATCTTTATAAAAATCATTTTTATAGAAATAAAAAATATAGATCGATTTTTATAAAAATAATTTTTAAAACTATATTTCAAGTGATATAACAAGTTGAGAGAGTAAACCAAGTTACTCTTTAAAAAAATGAGTAAAACAAGTTACATACTCCAACGCGTTAGTTACATTTCAAAACGCGTTAGTTACATTTCAAAAGTAAGAGCACAGGACCCAAAAAATTGGAAGGGCCAAAAAATTGTAAAAACCCAATTTTTTTTGTAGTAGTATTGCTACCACTTAGTGTTCTAAAAGGCCTCGTTCCACATACACTCGCCCAATGCGTGATAAAAGGCACTCAAATTCACACCTCAACCGATTGGCTAGGTGCGCATAGGCGAAAATCTTGTAACGACATCGCTTAGATTACCAAAGTTCCTCTTATTAGTATTTAAACAAGAGTGAATAACGAGCAGACTTTTACATATCCGGTGTGGGACGCCTGCTCTAAACAGAACCAAACATTCTCCTTGTTTACATTGAATAGTTAGAAAATGCAACTCTAATCATCCGGTGTGGGACGCTTTATGAGTTCTGTAGCACGCTAGAACTAGAGCCCGTTTGGTAGCACGAAAATCGGCTGATTTAACTGATTCTGCTGAAATTTATGAAGTTCTAGCTGAAGTGGCTTCATTGGCTGATTCTCCTGATTTTAGAAAAAAAAAATTTTAAAATATATTTTATTAATAAAATAAAGAAAAAACTATATGTAAAAATAGCTAAAATTGTCATCTACAGTAACTTCAGCCAATACAGCCAGAAAAGTAACTTCAACCTTACTTTTTCTGCTTATTACATAATTCAGTGCGCGAAATCAAAAATTACGTGTTTGGTGAAAAAGTTGGCTGAGAAGTCGAAAAACAGTGTTGCCAAACACCCTCCTAGTAGTCCCACTAGAAGAAATCTCATCTTAAGCAGACTAAATATTTATTACTACCTCCATCCCACTATGTTTAGGACAAAGGAGGGTGGCACAACTTTTAAGAAAAAGTGGAATTGTGTGGTTGTTATTGAATTGATAAAGTGAGAATAAAACAAAAATGAATTGTAACCACCCAAATATTTCCAAATATAGTACGAGACAAACATAACGGGACGGACGAAAAAGGTAAAACGGGACAAAGTTAGGGGGACAGAGGAGTAATGATCATTGATGTATATTGTAGCAAAGTTGATGTTATTCTTCACAAATAACTAATTGATGAACTAATTAAACTATTTATATTTAATAAATTGGTATATATATGTTTATACTTTTAACTGTCAACTTAAATTGTTATAGATATGCTTATAAATTGTAAGTTAGTATTAAAATTAATTTAATATTTTACTTAAATATATATATATGTATAGGATTATTGGAGGATTTCAATAACTAGTTCGTAGTAGTAATTATATTCACTCGAAGGACGTCCATTTTTAAATAAAATGTACTTTGTTAATGAATACTTTTATTTTTATTATTATTTTCATTAGTAACTTGTATTTTACTACAAGTATTTTCATAAAATGTACTTTGTTAATTAATACATATTACTTGTGTTGAGTATGATTGTTTTGTTGATGACTAACCATGCAGGTGGAACGGCAGATAGAACCGCTCACAGTTCCTTGCAGAACAAAGGACAGAACTATCCTCCGAAACAAATGGATATTATTAACGTGTTGATTGACTAACTATGCAGGAGGAACTAATGCAGCTCCATTTCTAATTCTGTAATATGATTTGAATTAATATGGATTGCACCTACTTGATTTTCAATTAATATGCTTTCCTTATATGAGTGATTATACTTTGTCAAAAATATGATTTTAAGCAAAAATATCCTTCTTGGCATGATATACGTAATTTGCTTGTATGAGTGCTTATTTGAGTGATTATTCTCTTTCCATACTTGATTAGACATCCACTTATTAGTATAGCTTATTACTTTATGGAAAGTATCCTTATTTGATTACATTTGGTGGTTGATCATAGCACTTACGTATTGCATGCTTTGCTAAATATCTCCTTGCCATAAAAGTTATCCTTGATCAACTTAATAAGTGAATAGTTTGAGTATGGATATTTTCTGGCATGGGCCGTCACATGCTTATTATGGTAGGTAAAATATTCCCTTGCTATACGGATTTGAAAAAGTAAAAGTTGTTTGAAATATATTCCATATCTTAATCTGTTGCTTGCTTATATTGAGAATAATATTCCTACCTTTTTGGGAATTGACCGAAGCCTGTCTTATTTGGTAATTAATTGATCACACAAGATTTGGATGAGTTGTTTGTATTTATTCTCTTAGTCCGGGACTGATATGCTACCTTGAATATATGATTAAGATATTTTAATTCGGCTACCTTATATATTGAGCTCGGATATGGGAAATATTATAAAGAAAAAGGAAAGCAATTCAAAATATTGAGGCAAGTCCCAAGATTACAAGATCAACTATTCAAAGAAGGATGCTTAAACGGTCTGCCCAAGACAACCTATATAAACAAAGCAGCCAAAGAGAAATGATGTGTGCTTGACCAAACAATTATAGAGAGAAATACTTATAAGAGAGTATCAAGACCAAGGCAACTGGACCTGCTTAAAGAGTTCTAGATATAGTTTCTTTTCTCTTACTTGTTTTGTAATTGAAGTTTGAGGAACAGCTTAAGTGTAGCTTCCTCTGGTTGGGGTCGTGTGTGTGAGCTTTGTTGTAAAGCTGAGAGGCTCTCTACCCGCAAGGTAGAGATGCATAACTCATCTTAGAGAAGATAGAGTTGGGGTGGCTCAAGGGTAGATTAGAAGAATTTACCTTGTAACTACAAAAGGCTTATTAGTGAAGTTGTTGAAAATTCCTCCAAGGGAGGTCGAGGTTTTTTAATCCCTTTGAACCAAGGGATTTTTCCTCGTTAAATCTTTGTGCACTTTACTATTTTGCAATTCCCTGGACCCCACACTAGAACTGTGCGAAAAACTGCCACGATTCCACACACACACAATTCACCCCCCCCCCCCCCACCCACCTCTTGTGTTGTTAACCGTTTCATCAACTTGTGTTGAAACTTTGAAGAGAAGGCTCAATCATTTTTGTTGCACAGGACCCTCATTTACTCAGGAACGACCCTGTGAAAAAGTGTCATTTAATTTGTGTGTGTAAAGATTTTGTGAATTAATTAGGTATCCAATTTACCTGAAATATAATTTTTTGTTTATATTTTATATATTATGTAAACAATAATATAAAAATTATATGATACTCCGTATAAACTAATTGCATGATAAAATAGGCCCCAAGATGGAGTGGTATTTACTAAATTACTAGTATGAGCCAGCCCATTGAAAGACCTGCAAATATAATGGATAATTATATAGATACGCACTTTCTCAATAAATAGATATTTTGTGCTGGATGGGACGAAAACAAATTAAAGTAGCGGACGGGAGGGAATATATTGAAGATTTGACTCGACGCTGGCCAATTTATTTATATAATACTATACGTACGTAGTATATTAATTAATTAATTAATTAATAAAGTGATCGATCATACAAAAACAACTTACTTCATTGATCCCTATCATATCAAAGTGCATAACATAAGTTAGGCTGCAGCTCGATCTAGCGCAGCTAGCTAGACATTAATTAAGAAATATAATGCCATTGGCCGCAATGAAATAATAATTAATTAAAACCTAATTAAGCTACGTCCCGAATATGAGAACAAAACTTTGTCAATTATAAAAAGAATGTGACTTAATTAATTGCATGTTATATTATATCAAAACCCCGGCCAACCTAGTACTAGTACTAATATACGTACGCACGTATAGCTAGCATGCATGCACGCCCCCCGGCCAGTACGTACGCCGACCTACTGCATTGCATGCACCCTTAGCTTCCGGCGTTAATTAGCTAGCTAGGTTACAATAATACTTCTCCCGGAAGGCGTGAGCTCCGGTGTACCTTCCCGCTCGGCCCGGACGGGGACACATTGCCTTTCTGGAGAAGTTGACGACGGAGAGTGTTCATGAGGCCGGCGGTCATCGGCTTCGCCGTCGTTGTCAGTCCTTTTCCGGCTGATGATATGGCCAGCGGCGCCATCTTGATGCGCGCCGCGGAGGCGGGCGCAGCGGCGGAGGCCATGAACAGAAGGAGCGCCACGACGATGATGATAATGGAGAACCTTGAATCAG